TTTATTTTTGATGAAGCAGTTTTGTATGATATCAAGAAGCCTAGTTTTTAATTTATCGTGAGTTATGGTTGTATAAAGTGTTAAATCTCAGTTACTAATGCTGGAAATATCATTAGCAAAGGTTTGATTTGAACTTTTAACGTTGAAATCAAATGTTCTGACCTTTACGTTAAATTACATTCAGTAGGTTGTTGTTGAACACTAAAGATAGGAGACGTCCTTCGATGTTTGACACTATGGGAGACAATTCAGATTTTTTTTTATTATAACAGCAACAGAACAGCTAGAAAGTCATCAATATACATGTATAGAGAGCACAAGAGACCGTGGATACCAAAATATATGTTATTTGTACATAAGCCCATGTCAGTTGCTTTCTGGGTGTCCAATATTGTGAAATACTGTCTCATAATTTGAAGGAAACAATGATATACCTTAACTTTTTTTGAAATCTTTATTGTAAATCCAACTTACACCCATACCCCCCTTTCTAAGGAGGAAATTCTTCAAAATCAAATGTCCATTTTAGATAATTTTAATATTCTCAACAATCAAAATGAATTTGAATTACCATACCTTTACTGGATTCCTAAACTTCATAAAAATCCTTACGAACAAAGATACATAGCGGGTTCCAGTAAATGTTCTACCAAGCCTCTTTCTTTACTCCTCACTAAAATATTTACTGTAATGAAGGAGAAACTTCAGGAGTATTGTTCAACAGTATATTCGAGAAGTGGTGTAAATCAGATGTGGATTCTTAAAAACTCCAAAGAACTTTTGGAAAATTTGAAATCACAGAATTTTACTAAAATCAATATAGCATCAAAACGTACGACTTTTCAACACTTTATACAACCATTCCCCACAATAAATTGAAGTCCAGGCTTTTTGACATCATAGACAGCTGCTTTTTAAATTTTCAATTAAAATGGAACTCATAAATATACTTACCTTGTAACTGGTCATTTACAAAATTATTTTGTTAAAAAGCACTCTGATTGTACACACAAGTACTCTGAAGTTGATATTAAAAAGATGCTTGAGTTTCTGATTGACGATATCTATGTAGTTTTTGGAGATCAGGTCTTCCAAGAATCTGTTGGAATTCCCATGGGTACCAATCGCGCCCCTTTATTAGCAGACCTTTTTTGTATTCATATGAAGCAGAATTTATTCAAAAACTTCTACATGAGAAGAAGAAAACATTTGCTTTGGCCTTCAACTCGACATTTCGATTTATCGACGACGTATTATCAATTAATTACTTTCATTCATATGTCGACTGATATATCCCAGTGAGCTTGAAATAAAAGATACCACAGATTCTGACACATCTGTTTCATATTTAGATATTTTACTAGAAAAAGACGTTAATGGTAACTTAACAACAAAGCTTGATAAACGTGATGACTTCAAAATTTCAATCGTCAACTTCCCTTACTTATGCAGCAATATACCCTTATCACCTGCATATGGGGTTTATGTCTCTCAGTTGATTCGATATGCAAGAGCATGCCGTACGTATGAACAATCTCTAAAACGAGGCAAGCTATTGACAAACAAGTTGACGAAACAAGGATATCAACAGTCTCCTTTGAAGTCATCTTTTTGCAAGTTTTTCTGTCGATTCAATGACCTTGTCAGCACATACAACCTATCATTGAGTCAAATGCTGACTGACGTTTTTCATACTGATTGTTATGCCATTATTTACACACTGAACTGTCTACGGATATTTCCGGTTTTTGTTTCCTGATCATGACAAGGAGCACACGGCGGGTGTCACCGGTCGGCAGGGGATGCTCATTTCTTCATGGCACCTGATCCCACCTCTAAATTTTGAGGTCCGTGTTTGCTCTGCTCCAAATTCGTATCGTTTCATTGGACTTTCGAGATTGAATACTGTTCGTTATCTTCATATTTCATTGAAATCTTTATTGTAAGGGATTGTGGAAACAGATATTTTGCAAGGAAAACCGCAGTTTTCTTTTCGAACATTTTAAGAAAACCGGGATGTAGGTCAATCGATCTGTAGGTATCAGGAAATTGCCAAGTTTTATTACTCCTTGTGTAAGTATGTCGTGTTTTCAGTTTGTAGGAACTTTCCTTATCCTTATTATGGAGTTGAAAAGATGGAAAGATACAATTAGTTCTTTACCTCCATTGATAAAGTGTAGACTTTACACCACCAGGCATGTTTTGGATGCTGCATCTTTCCTCAAGTTATGATTATTAAACAGGGTAAGTTTTTGTATTCCCAAGAAACTACATGTAAGCCCTACTCTGTCATAATGTAGATTTTTAATTGTTCTCATCATCGTCAATAGGTTTAGGGTGGAGTCACAATAAAGGATCAAAGTTTTGCAGAGATTATATACAGAAAAAAATTCTTTAAAAATCTTCTTTTTAAAGGTGCTTAGACACAGATTTGAAGTTAATATTTACTCAAATTTTCTGTATAATTTCATGACTTATATGTTGCTATAGCATTTCATATGAAAATTTGATAAAAATCTTATTTTATCTGGAAGAATTTCTGGACGCGTTTGATAGACACATCCTTGCACTTTCACAAATTTTAACTTTATCCTTATTACTTTAGAAAAGTAGCAATTATGTTGTTTATTAATGAAAAAAAGTAAAACTATAATGCAGAAATTTCAGAGTAGAAATGTAGAAAGCAAAATCCTCTCACCAGTATTGTCCGTCCGTGCTCAGTGTTGTGTGCAGAGTTGAACAATTGAACACACCAGGTGAAACGTAAACATTAACAACAACAGAGCTCGTGCCCTGTTTACAAAAACAGTTTGCGTTTCACTGGTGTGTTCAATTTGTTAAACTCTGTACACAACCACACAACACTGAGCACGGGCTGATAATACTTAAGTGAGTGGGTTTTGCTTTCGCACATTTTTACTCTGAATTTTCTGGATTATAGATGTAAAATTATTCGTCAATACACAACAAAATTGCTACTTTTCTTAAGTATTAAGGATAAAGTTAAAAATTGTGAAAGTGCAGGGATGTGTTAATCAAACGTCTCCCGAAATTCGTAGTTTCAATAATTTCCAGATTAAATAAGTTTTTAATTTTATTTTGGTGTGAAATGCTATAGCAACATATAAGTTGTGATATTATACAGAAAATTTGAGAAAATACAAACTTCAAATCTGTGTCTAAGCACCTTTAAGAACAAGACACTCTATAGTAATTTTAATTTGCAAGCACCCCGAGGTAGTGAAGAAATCATGTTCCCCAGTCGTAATGTGGAGCCAGGATAGGGGATTAAATTCTACCTGGGAATATGACATATAATGGCCCTGCTGTTCTTGAGATTTAACTTTCTTCCAATATTTTATATTTGATCAGTACACTATTTATATTTTATTTCAATTTTAATAGGAAAAACAAAAAATACGTCATAGGTGGCTTTAAAATACTCATGAAACATGCTTGAAGTCTCAGATTCATTAAAATAAGAAGAGATGTCTTGTAAACTCATTCTGCATTGTCTTAATACTCAAAATTAACTATTAAGTCTGAACTAATTTACAATGTTTGTTTTATAATATAATTATATTGGTAATTTCATAGGAAAGAAGAGGTAAAAACACATTTAAATCAGTTCACGATACTCAACGATCATTTAATTAAAATCATTGAAGAAACACAGGACAGACTGGGTAATGACGTGTTTATACAGCAATTAACATCTCGAAAACTGACCAATTATCCCTGCGATGTCAATCCGGAGAGGCTTATTTATTAATTATCTCCCAATCAGCTTAAATAGACAGATGAAAAAACTAAAGTCTCAGATATATTGTGTTTTTTTTTATTGAATTTTTTGGAAACTGTGTTCAAATTGACACAAATTTTATTTCTTTCCGACTAACCGATTACAGATTTCCTAACCGATTACCATCGTTCCGACCGAGTAACCGGTTAACCGATTAGAAATTGCCATCCCTAATATATATATATATATATATATATATATATATATATATATATATATATATATATATATATATATATATATATATATATATATATATATATATATTGTACTTACATAGACCAGTGGTTTCTAAATCAGCAACAATGATAATAGAGTTTTCAGAAGATTGTGGTAGAACATTTGATGGCTGTCTTTCAGATATGGGAATTTCTATGATAAGATCATCTAATTCATCATTCGACGCTGAAAAGTCTATATCTGTTGCGTACGTTGTACCTTCGCAGAGTTCCATTGTTGCCTCCGATGTCTGTCTCTGTTCCCTCAGCTTTAAACAATCTACTTTGGCTTTGTAGGTACTCCGGAAAAGTTGTTTCTTTGACCTTTTTTATAGAGCAAGCTCTGTTGTTTTTCTGTTTGTTTTCCAGGAAACAGGTTGCATGCCGAGATAACCTTTTGAAGAAAACAAATTAATGCAAAATCTTGCCCCTACTTAAGATATTCATTAGCTATCTTATCATCTGTAATACGGATTATCTATTTTTAATCAAAAAAAAAAAAATGAAGGTGGAAATTTTGCATTTAAAGTATATTTTGTCATGCATATTTTTACGTACGAGTATACATAGATGCTAAGTACTCTTTTTGGCAGGGATCCCCCCCTTCCCCCCCTTCCACACCCGATATTAAAACGTTTGTAATAACCGGATTATTTCAAAAGACTGCGTTTTTTGATCATTCTAAAGGAATGGTTTTTTTTTCGTGTTTGGACACAGTTTGTTTGTTTATTTGTATGTGAGTGTTTTTTTTTGTTTCTTTGTTTGTTTGGTTTGGTTTTTATTATTTTACTTATTTAATAATTTTTGAGCTTGTAATGTTAATTGGTATCATTCAAGGGAAATTCCTGAATTTGCTCTTGGCCTCTTTTGCAATTTGACTGTTTAAAAATGTGAGCCCCCCCCCCCCCCCATCCATGAAAGGGGAAAATGTTGATCCGCCCCTGTTACCGTATATGATGATAATGTACTTTATTAAAATATTAAAACAGCTTTACCTGTAAAATATATTTGTGACCTTCGTTTTTTTGGGCAACAGCAGCAGCAACTCTATAAGAAAGGCTCTCTGATCCAGAGTAGTGCTGAGCTTTCGGAGCCTTCTTCGCTATCATTTGGTTTAAATTTTCGTTGGCATTTGATGATCCAAGGTCTGTGTACTTTTCTGCTTTTTCAGCATGCTTCTGAAAGACATCCTGCAGAGCTTCTTTTAGTTTCTCTCCAACAAGATCTTTCCCCGAGGGCAATGATTTATGTTTGTAAGTGCTTGGATCTTTTAAAAATCCACACCAACTTGAGTTACATTGACTGTGATCTCCGAACGCATGCGGAACTGTTGCAAACAGATTTTTTCGGATGCCCTCTATGTCATCTTTGTTTTGCTGAATAGCATATGTAAAACATTTCTGGAAGTATTTTATAGTTTTGACAGAGAGACCTCCATGTGTTTCTTTGACCTTGTATAATGCGTTCGACAAGTTCCGAACTACATGTTTTTTATCGCCACATTTTGTAATATTTGAAACTGCCTTTTTAGTTCTCAAAAATGTAGTGCTGTCGTCATCCATAATTAGTTTTCGTACATCCAAGCCTTTCTCTTTCCCTTCTCTTCTCTTTCCCTTTCTCTTCCCGTTCCTCTCTTTTGCCAGCCGCCATCGCATGAAACTTCAGCACCCTTGTCGCAACGTAGATCCGGTGCGTCTCCGCTGATGAAGAATATTTTTTGGATTAATTTTGAAAATGCAATAAATGATAATTAGCTAATAAAACACCACTGGAAAATAAATTTTAGACATTTAACTCCTTCTTATATCAATTTTGTTATAAGAATGCCCCACTACAAGTATTTAATGCATTTTATGGAGTAGTGTGTGGAAAGGGGGGGGGGGGGTAAATTAATTTTAATGTATTTGGGATTATGTTATGTAAATATACCTATTAGAGCATAGGATTTCAGTCTGTATTGCATAATTACAAGAATTCTCTGCAACATCCTCCATAACACATCCTATTTCTCTTTCTCGTTCTTTTAGAGTTTTGTGATGAATGGAGGGGAGGTTTAGCTCAGCGAGAATATTATTAACCTGCTGTTCCCCTATACCAGCATGCAACATTGCTTCAATCAAAATCAACATCATTTATCTCCCGTAAACAGCTGTCAAAAAAAAATAACAAGTGAAAATGCTTGATATTTTTATTTTTCTAAATTCTCGTACATAAATACGTATTTCAAAGTAAGTTTTATATCTTTTGTAAATAGTACCATTAATATGCATTAATACGTATTTACGGATTTAAGTACTATAGTAGTCTTGTTAAGGGGAAAAATACCTGCAGCAAGCTTTGTGTTAACATCAAAGCATCTTAGCGGTCCTTTCCCATTCGAATTCGTCTGTGTCTCTTGCCTGTAGGCACTGAATTCAAGTTGTTGCACTTAACACGCTTTATGTACAGGATAGAAGCCAATCCATACTTTCTCTCGTCAACACAAGCATCTAATCTTAAGTTGCCTTTGCAGAAAACGTACTCTTTCAAACCTTGAGCCAATACGCTTAGCTCCACTATTCTTCTTCCCTCAACCCAGGAATTATTTTTGTCTTCTTGTTCATCTGTACCTCTTTGCTCTTTCTTACCATCATTTACGGAAGTGTTTTCTTTTCGATTTAGATTTTCCAAGCGATTTCTTTTTCGTTCAGAAATAAATTTTCCTTTGTGCTTCATGGTACCCGAGTCGTTTTTCACTTGTGACGTTGATATATCACAGGACGAAAGACCATCTTTAAGCAATCGCTTAATTGTGGCTTAATGGTAGCTTAATGGTGGCTTATAGAAGTTAATTCCTTTAAGCCACCATTAAGCCACCATTAAGCTGCAGCTTCTAGGTGCTTAATGTCCAAACTTCATTAAGCTACCATTAAGCCACCTTTAAGCTGCAGCTTAATGGTGGCTTAATGTCCAAGCTTAATTAAACCACCTTAACGCATCCAGTATCAAGTCTTTAAGCTAACTTGGTAAGTTTGAAGTTGTTTCAGAATCATTTACGCAAATACTTATTCAATTCATAATTTTTTTTCTCGCTTTTTCTAACATTTTCGTCAATGCTTATAAACTAGGGAACTGAGAACAGCTTCACCAAATGCCTTAAAATTTTCGCTCCCTAAAATCAGTTTGTTTGAATACTTGTATTTAAATTATTTTTACCCATAAATACATAGTATATATTAATTTTTTTTTAAAAAGTCACATATTTTTGTTTCGTGTTTGGAGAGCCACGTTCCACTGCCGAATTCATATAGAAATGTTGTAATTAGAGTCATTTTCTACTGGAATATCTCTTAGTCTCTTAATTTTTTGGGGGGTAGAGAAATGTTTAAGATATATATATATATATATATATATATATATATATATATATATATATATATATATATATATATATATATTTATATATATATATATATATATATATATATATATATATATATATATATATATATATATAGATTATACTGCCAATCATTGAATTACTTCATGAATAATTTGAATTAATTCGTGGTTAAGAGCCCTTATTTTTTCCTTTCTTTTAAAATAGTGCAGAAGTAAGAATTTATTTAAAATAATGCAGAAGTAAGAATTTATTTAAAATAATGCAGCAGTAAGAATTGATCAAAATATAGTCGGTCTTCAACGATTGTTATTTCAAAATCAATTTTCAGAAGAACAGCCGATCAGATTAAACAGGGCATCCGACCAGATTTATACACATTGAGAAGCGGGGTAAAATAATCAGTGTACAATATATAGACTAGTTAGACAATAGACCTTAATTAGGTGTCCCCACCAGTCCCCGGTCAATTAACAGGAAACTATACACGGGAACGTACAGTGACAGATTTTGATGATATATTATTTTTACAAAACTTAAAATTTATGCAAGCATATAACAAATTAGAAATTATGATTGTACACAAAAAGACAATTATTTTGATACCCATAATGATATAAGAAGAATTAAAACTGAAGATGATATGTTACAAAAATATTTTACAACTTGATTGTTACGGAAAGATTGTCAAAAATCGTAAATATACGCAGCATATTTATAAGAACTATAATCTGTTTTTTTTTTCCCCCATCGTTCTCTTTCGATGATATATTCCTTTTTAATAACAAAATTTTGTTATATCTGTTGAATTTCAATCTTTTCATGCTAATAAATCTGCGAATAACAGAACGAGGAATTCAGTTACTTAAAATCAAAAAGTTGTTTCAAAGGATCACACCGAACTCCGGTCCACGGTTAAGAAATATTAACTTAATCTAAAACTTTATAAAAATTTCTTTTTTTAAAAAAAAAATATATAAATAGAATTATTTGTATTATTGATTAATAAATATAAACATCAGAAAAAAAATACATGTACAGGTACCTGTAACCATACCAAAGAAGTTTTGTTAAAAATAAAGTTTTTATATTTCACTTCATTTTTCAACAGCCTCGATAGCTCAGTGGTTAAAGCGTTCGGCCTCCGATCTAAAGGTCGTAGGATCGAATCCTGTTGGGAATGCTTTTTTTTTCATTTAATATTTTTTTAAAAAATTTCTTTCTTTTACATTATTTTCGCCGAATTAACAAATGTATAAACTCGACATTTATAATTTTTGTGAAGAAATCATTATAAAAATAATATTTAACCCATAAAAGCAGTTTTATCGACTGCGTAATGGTGACTTAATGGTGGCTTAAAGGTGGTTTAATGGTAGCTTAATGGAGTTTGGACATTAAGCACCTGTAAGTCTGGCTTAATGGTGGCTTAATGGTGACTTAATGATTGTCTAGAAGCTACCATTAAGCACCTATAAGCCACCATTAAGCCACCATTAAACTACCTTTAAGCATCCATTAAGGACTTTGAGATGGCTTAATGGTAACTTAATGGTGGTGTATTTATTACTTAAATGTGGCTTAAAGGTGCTTAATGGTGACTTAAAGACAACCATTAAACCATCATTAAGGACCTATAAGCCACCATTAAGCCAAACTTAAAGGAAATGTTTCATCTTGTGTATTTTAAAAATGACGTAATAAAATTTGCGCCAAACCTTTCAAATATATTTTGTTCGAATTTTTTTTCATTTTGTTTCTTTAAACAAATACTTAACAATTAAATAAAGATGTTTACTACTAATTTTGTTATCATGATAATTATGTTTGTAGTTGTTAAAATTGCTGTATAAATACCTTGTGATCACTTATCGAGATAAATAAACAAAAATAAACAGAAAAGAAAAAGAAAAGAGAAAAGATATATTTATATATCGTATATATATATATATATATATATATATATATATATATATATATATATATATATATATATATATATATATATATATATATATATATATATATATATAAAATAAAAAATTAGTCTCTTTCTCTCTCTCTTAAAGCAGAACAATGTGGATTCATGGGCGTACAGGCGAACATAGATAGATCGATAAATAAAATAAATTCGATTAAATAATTGCAAAACACTAGCTCTTCTTCTTGTAAGTCATTATCTGTCCTTTTTTTTGGTCTAAACCATTCAAATATGTAAGTTTATTTATTTTTTAATTAACTACGGTTGTATAGCTATAAATTAAAATACTTTTTCCATTACAGAATACATTTCTTACATTTTAATTTAGTATGCATACTGTAGAACTACAAAACCAAAGGTTTAGTCCTCTAAAATGTGACGTCATAATCAAATGTGCACAAGAAAGTCACTCGAATCATAAGAATTGCGTACCAAGTTTTAATGACGTCAGCAAACCCGCGACCTACGTTAACTAGGTTGGATCCTGATATTTAAAGTCTTAAACTTTTTTTGTCAAGTATATTTTTAGTTTCTACACATATAACTTAATTAAAAATCAAAACAAAAAATGGGGGTCAATACGCTTCTTTTGGCGCTACAGTACATTTAATATGACCTTTTTGCACTGAAATTTGTGTTTTAATCAAAAATCACATCTTCGACGTTTTCCCTCCAATGTTTTTATCCAAATAAATCATGGGACAAATTAAACTATAAGTCTATTTAAAAAAAGACACTTCAAAATTGTGACGAAGAAAAAGTTTCAAATTGCTTCGCATAATCAATTATTTGACCTTTCTGCACTCAAAAAAATGTGATTTTTCAGACATTAAAAATTTAACAAGCAAGAAAATTATTTTAAAGTCTTAAACTTTTTCTGAATTTAGGCAGATTGATCAAAGTTATCTTATATATTCAGAAAATAAAAACAAAAGTGGGGGTCTATGATGTAAATTTTTAGATATTATTAAAAAAGTGTTAATTTTATGTTAAAATTGGCTAAATTTTCTCCTGGACTTTCAGAATATATTTACTATATTTGTCACAATATAATAAAAGAATTCATAAGAAATAATTTAATAGATATTTCAGAACCAGCATAAAACATTTCACTGCAAAAAACAGCTCTGTGTGCAACCAGCGTGGAAAAATAGGAATCTAAACTTAACTGTACTGTATATATTTCAAAAGGAGACAAAATGATCA